GTGCTTTAAGGAAGAAGGTAGCAAACAGCACTGAGAGCATCTAGAAGTTTTAAAGAGTAAAAGCAAAAAAAAAAAAAACAAAAAACAAAAAACAAAAAACAAAACAAGTTGCAATTTGTTGGGAGGTTGCTTTTCGTTTTGTTTTCCTTTCTGGCCTATCGCAAGGAGAAAATGCTGGCAGTTTCCTACTCTAACGGCCCGGTTCCTCAGGCACCTTCCACGAGAGAGCAAGCAGCCTGGGGTTGGTCTTTAAACATCTTGAGCTCACCTCCCTGTCTGTGCAGCCTACAACCAAGGGGTTCGCTTCGTGGGACAGGCCTAGTCCTGGCTCCCTTGAGTTGGACCATTTATCATGGCAGCAGCTGGAGATAAGCTGGACACAAAGAGGATTTGTCTCTGAGGAGGGACGAGCCCTAGATACCAACGCAGAGGAATTTTCTCATTAGCAGGAAGTCAGTGGTGGGGACTGTGGGCTTTCACGGGGTGCCCCAGTGCAAACGGCAGCAGGGAGGGGGAGCGGGCTGTGGGGGTAAAGTACTCAGAGATGCTTTCACTGAACTTAAAAGTTTCCAGAGTGGGTTTCCTTGGGAGAGAGAAAAGACATGAAATGCCATCTGCACTTAGGACACGGTCAGGGGGAGGCGGGATTCATCTACCAGGCTGTGTTTCTTTGTGCAGACTTAATTACGTGTTCCCACTCGCAGGGGGGCCGCCGTGGGGGCTCCGCATGGGGCATCCCAAATGCCGCTTGTTGAGTGAAGCCCAGGGGACCCTGAGGGCCAAGAGCTCAAAGATAAACCATTGCTGAGTCATCAGCAGCCGCTGGTCGGGCTGGGACTCTCTGCAGTGGTAGAGACAGGGAGTCAAAGCACAGAGAGTTCTAGAACACTCCCAGGATTCACGGACTTGAAAGGGATGCCAAAGCCTGGGAGCAAACTGAACGAGAAGGAGTTCTCGGAGTTCGGAGCAGCATCTGAGGCACAGTCCTCGATTAGCTAATTCCATTAATTCTGAATACCAACTGGGGTTCCCCCGCCAGCACGCGCACGGACTTCAGGAATGAAGCGGGTTCTGAATGGCCTCTGATTTGTTCGTTTTCTTCAGCAATTATTGCAAGATCAAGCTCGGAGGAGAAACACTTCCAGGTGAAGTTAATTGCCTCCCACGACCCACCCCCTCCCCCATTTGGTGCTTCTGTTGTATTTTGATATCCTGCTAATGTAGCCTGTTAGGAGGGACAGGCCCATGGCGTCCTCACCCACTGCCAACACGGAGAGAGAAAACCAGGCACCCCTCTCCCACCATGTCACCACTGTGTCACCAGACGGCTCTCAGCTCATGCAGGGGGGCTTGGTTACGTTGTCTGAGTACATGCACTCTCTAGACCATCAATCAGCTCAGCTCAGAGAACAGCCTTAGGAGTGACCTGTGCACATCCATTTTTACACTTAGAAGCTTCCAGAAAATGTTATGCTACCCTTTTTCCTAGTTGATCTTTGCCAAAAATAACTACCCCGCATAATGGCGGAAAAGAAAGGCGTATCAACGGCACATTTCACACCTGAATGCCCGAGGAGGCCAACCCCGGAGCCATCCAATGGGAAAAGTTGCCTGAAGAGTAGTCATTGGAGCTTACACTTGAAGAAAAGGTTGCTATTGTAAGTATTTTCAATGCCTTTATTTATTTAATTTTTTTTTTTGCTTTTTTCCCCCAGGCATAGAACGGGCTGGGTTGGTTTTTGCGTTTCTCCTGCCTCCCCAGGACAGTGCACTGTGCCCACTGCAGAGCGAGCAGGCAACCTGAGAGCACCGTCTTTTCACACATCTCGAGGCACGGAGTGGAATTCGAGATGGAAAAGGCTGGAGCCTCCTGCCCCAGACATTTCTGATGTGGAGCCTGGGACCCCCGCGTGCTGTCGAATCCAACCACTGGGCCTGGTCGTGGGGGCAAAGGACAGAGCTGGGCGGGAAGGCGCCGACCTTCCCCCCCTTTAAAAACGTGTCTGGCTGCTGTGAACAGACTGAAGGCCTTTTTCTCCCCCCTCCCGTCTGTTCTCACTTCCTCCCTTTTAAAGTGGTTAGAGGCCTGGTGGGTTCTCAGCTGTGAGAGTCCTCTGGGTCCCTGGGCCCGACACCGGCCTTGGGGGAGCAAGGCTTCCGGCCAGCGCCACTCCAAGCCACGTTCTCTAAGCAAGCCAGAGCCAAGCTCACCCCAATGTGGGAAGTACCTCTGTCCGCAGCTCTGGGTAGTTGACTGACATCTGCTGATGGTGACTCTGAGAACCTGACCGCAGATCTGGTCCCTCTGAAGGTCTGTGTGTGTGCAGGCCTCGGTGTCCCCTCCTCGGTGGAAGAGGGCCATAGACCCCAGGTCAAGTCCTTGCCTGGAGGACAATCCAGGGGTCCACTCGCATCGCCTCCTGAGGAGGGGGCTTGCCCACGCATGTCATGTTGAAGCCCCTGAAACAGCCACAGGTCAGGTGGGAAGGGGGACGCTCAGCAGCCGGCCAGTTAGGGGAGCACATGACGGCCCCCGAGGGCCCCAGGTGGGAGGTCGGCCAGCAGCAACCACCACCCCCCCCCAACCTCGCCTCCCCAGGGCAGGCTCATAACCCTAAATGCCAACGCTCTCCACCCAACAAGCGAGCCTCGAGAAGACCAACCACTTCCCATCAGTCTGGAGAAACCAAACGAAACCAGCAAAACCGAAGCCGATCATTTTATTCTGCAGTTTCCTTCTACTGGAAAACTACTAAAAATATAAATATAAAATATCTAGAAAATACTCAGAATAGATCTGTAATCTTCTTCCTCTCCCAGACTGGGGCCGACCTCTTTGCTCTTTCAAAGTCGATGGATCCTGTGCGTGTCTGTCTTCAGACCATCCACGCACAGAACAGACGCGTTTCTCTCTGTGCGGGGGGATGTGCCACCCACCTGCCAGGTTCTGGAAGCTCACCTGTGATTTATCAGGGGAAAGCTACGTGTTGACTAGGGGGGTACAGTGGGGTTGGGGGAGTATCGGGGAGAGAAAAGACTCCGTGCCCCCAACTTCCTTATGCAGACATAGAAGATGGTCCTTCACTCTTGGTATCCTGCCTTTGCGTAACTGGGCCACCCAAGGGCCAAGCTCCCAGAGAAGCTTGGGTGTGTGTGTGTGTGTGTGTGTGTTGGGGGGGGTGGGGGGGTGCCGGTTGCCATGCTGTGATCACAGGAAGGTCAGGCTGTTGAGACAGACATGGGAAGCCAAATGGGGCTTTGGATGGAGAACTGGTCTTTGCCCAGGCCCTCAGCAGGATTGGAAGTCGCCCCTGCTGCTGTCCCGGGTGGCACTTAGCCCCTAGCACCAGGTAGCATCTGCAGCACCTAGGACGGGATTTCAGACTCGACCCCCCTCCCCCAGGTGGCAGCATCGCCTCGGCTGGAGGACAATGGCCAGGGTAGAGATCACAGAGAGGCCGAAGATCGGAGCCTCGTTTGGTAGCAGACACGAGTCTGGAGAACTCTGGGGTCATCCTGGCCGTGGCAACGGGACAAGCTGGTAGGGTTCCCGTGCTAACCCTGAATCTGAGGGCCAGGACCTCAGCAGTGGCCGGGTGTGGTGTGCAGAGCAAGGTGCTTAAGCCAGCCCGGGCCTGCAACCTCTGCACACACGGCTGCCCCCATCACCTGGCCGGGGCCACCCCGATCTCCGGAGGAGGAGCCCCAGAGCACAAGGGCCTGCCAAGTTCCCCACCAGAGAAGCAAACCAAGCTTCCCGTACGGAGGCTCTCGTGGAGCTGTGTGAACTCCCAGCAAATGTGTTTCGGCTCTCTGCCCTCACCCCCTCCTGCTCTGTGTCTCGTGCAAAACTCCAAGCCATTCTGGGAAAACTCACAGGCCTCCAAATGTGGTCCCGAGAACTTTAGAGCCTCGGGGTCAGGTTAGCACATCGTCGTGATGTTCTTGGCGTTGAGCCAGGACCTAGACCTCCAGTCACTGCTCACTGCACCACGGCCCGTAGGGTGCCCGACATGTGCAGACCCTCGTGGGGTACATGAGGCTCCGGTGTGAAAACGCAGCAAAGCCTTGCTTTCCAGAGCAATGAAAGACGGGGTGGGAAAGCTGTGGCAAGGTCGCAGCCGCTGCAGAAACACGCAGGAAGGGCAACCCGCTTCCTGGCATCCCCCCACCCGCCGCCCCCAGGCTTCCAAGTCTACAGGAGTTAGCTTGGATGTTTCTCCCGGGGGGCTGGGCAGGAGGAGCTGGGTGATGGGAGGTGAGCACTGTGCGGGGCGGCGAGGGGGCAGCTGAATGATGGACAGAAGAGGGGAGGCAGCAGGAACCCTAGGGGGAAGACAGCCCGACAGTCCGTCAGGCCATGCTGCACCTGCCTTCGCCCGGGGAGCCGGCCACCCTGTTCAACAAATCTTCTAGCTGCAAAGGCCCCCGGGGCAGGGATCACCCGCCCCGCCCCGCTGACAGGGACTCCTGGTGGGACAGAGGAACATAAAATGGGTAAAGCCAGGAGGGCAGGATGAACCGGGTGAGTCCCTGACATAGATCGCAAAGGCAGGGAGCGAGAGGACCGTGCATCGGGGCAGGGAAAGGCAGGGCGGAGGCCTCTCCAGGGAGACCCGGGCAACTTAGCAGAACACAGCGCCTCCTGCTCAGTGGAAGGTGGCTTTGTGCCTCGTTCCCAGTCTCCCTGGTCACTCTGGCTCTCTCACTCACCACGCCCAGACCCCAGAGCCGCATCATTTCAGGCTGTGGGCGCTCCCTCAAAGCCTTCTCTGTCCTCACCCTGTCTTCTCTGTGACTTCTGCTCTGGGTTCTCCTGGGGCCGGCTCCCTGGAGGCCAAGTTCCTGGGCCCTCCCCCCAAAGCAAGGTGCTAATCTGCTCAGCTGCTTCCTCTGCTTCCTCGGGGGCCCGCCTCGCCCTGTCCTCACACACAGCAAGGGGGGCCCTGGCCTTTCCTTCTGCGCACGGAGCCCACTAGTGGCTGGTCGCATGGCTTTCCCCAGCGCCTTCTCAGTGGTCGGCCCCGGGGGGCCTGGTGTGTCCCCCAACAGGGCAGGTGGAAAATGCCCTGAGAACCCTCGGCGACAAGGCTGCGCCCAAGTCTCAGGCCCCCAAAGGGTAGAGGCGAGGGGACAACACACGGTCTTGGGACCAGGAGGAGCAGGGTGTGTGGCTTTCCAGGTCTGGGCCCGTTGTCAGCCCAACCCATCAATTCTCCATTCGGCCCGATGCCCCAACCAGAGGCAGAAGAAACGAACCAGGGTCTGAAGGGAGAAGGGGGGGGCAGGGGCACAGGTGGCATGTGGGGGGCAGGCAGAGACCATTCCTGCAAGACCCTTCATCCCGGGCTGGTGGCCCTGCAGGCCGGTGGGAAGACCGGGCTGCCTGGGAACAGCAATGCTCCCATCCCCCAGTGTGGCAGCCGGCCCCGGAGCGGGGAGCTTCTAGAAAATGAGGCTCGGGAGCCACAGCCCAGCCCTTTAGCATTCGGCAGACAGAGGCTCTAACTAGGGTGACTCAGGGAGCCTGGCCCCGGATCGGCGCTCTGATCTCTGCACAAGGGGGCAAAGGGCACAAGGAGCGGGGGCAGGGGCCAAGGGGCACCAGGGACGGAGACGGCAGAGGGGAAGGGGGTGCCCGGCAGGGAGAAGGGGCCCTACTCAAAGGACAGCAGGTCTGGGTGCGGGCCCTCATTGTCAAGGCTGGAGGTCCGTGCCCGAGGCGGGGGGCCACTGTCCTCCGGCGGCTGGGCCAGGCGGACGGGGCTCAGGCTGCGCTTGAGGCCGTTCCTCTCGAGGAGGCCAGGGGAGGAGGCCCTTCTGCACTCAGTTATCTTCGGTTTGGGTTCGTCCTGGCTGTTCTGGTGGATCAGGTCGGGCACTGACAGGGAGACCTCTCCGTTGGGCAGAGCCTTGCCCCTCTCTGCCGTTTCCGTGGGAACGTCGGGCTGGGCGGTGGGAAGGGGTTCCCGGGGCTGCCCAGGAGGCAGCTCTGTCCCATACTCCAGGCTGCTCAGGACTGGCTGCGGCGAGATCAGCATGTCCTGCGTGGTCTTCAGGGCACGAGGGGTTCGCTTCCTGGTAATGGGAGGCGGGGGGTCCAGACGAGGGAACGCGTCCTGCAGGGCTGACCTGTGGGGTTGAGGCGACAAGCGCGTGTGCTTTAGGGATGGCGATGCCCCAAGCCCCCCAGCTGCCCAGTGGCTCCCCCACCCGGCACACACCTCCCTGCTCGGGCCCCGTCCCCGGTGTGGCGTGTGGGTTGTGGCAGCCGACAGAGCTGGCCTTCCGCCCGTCATACCCCCCTCGGTGCTCACAACAGCAAGAGTATTGCCGCTGGGACCACAGGTGAACCGAGTCATGTCAGAGCCCATGTGATGAGCCCTACGAAGGACCTGCCGGCTCAGGAGCACAGCAGGTGTTTAAAACAAGGCCTGGGGGGAGCCTAGAGGGCTCAGTCGGTTAAGCATCCAGCTTTGGCTCAGGTCACGATCTCACGGTTCGTGGGTTCGAGCCCCGTGTCGGGCTCTGTGCTGAGAGCTCAGAGCCTGGAGCCTGCTTCAGATTCTGTGTCTCCCTCTCCCTCTGCCCCTCCCCTGCGTGCCCTCCGTCTCTCAAAAATAGACATTAAAAAAATAAATAAAGCAAGGCCTAGAAGGGACGTGTGGGCATGAGAACAGGAGGCCCACCACAGCAGGCTTCTCCCTCGCCGGCCCCAGTGGGTCCCACAGACGCCCACTTTCCTCCACCGTCATCGGCCGGGGCCGGGGCTCAAAGGTGCGGCTGGGTGTTAGAATCCACCTGGGCAGCTGCAGGCAACGCCTGGGTTCGAATTCCACTCTGCCCATCACTAACTTGGTAACCTTAAGCTCCTCACGCTACCCCCCCCACCACCACCTCAGTTACGTGCAAAGTGGTAACAATGGGATCTACCTCGCAAAGTCGTTGCAAGGGACGGGGAAGCACGTAGCCAGGCGTCTGCTGACACGCGATGGGCGCTCAGGACGCCTTAGCTGCGGTGGGGTGGCAGTCAGCAAGCAGGAGCATCGCCCCGGCCATTCCCCGCGTGACAACCTCATGTCTCCCGGAGACACGGGTTCGGCCTGGAGCTCTGCGAGCAAGCCTCCTGCGCTCACCTGTCAGCCTCCACGGCCCCGCCGTCCAGCCGCGCCCCCGCTGGCCTGTTGATCTCCATGGCGCCCGCGCCGTCCAGGCTCGAGGGCTCTTTTCTCCGCAGGAAGTCGTTAACTTTGGCCCCCACGGCTCTGCCCAGGTTCTTGAGGTGCTGGCTGCCACCCACCCGGAGCCCCGGCCCCCCAGGCTCCGCAGACCCCGGGGCGGCAGAGCCGGGGGCCGTCAGCCTGGACAGGTGGGGGAGGGAGCAGCCGGGCTGCAGCTTTGGAGGAAGGGCCGCATTCAAGTTCTCGAACATGCTGTGGTCCACTGCAAACAGAGGGGAAGATGGGAACAGTGAGCGGAGGCACGCGAGGCTCTGGGCCACGTCACTCTGCTGCGTTCCCTGATCCCACACCCACAGCTGTCCCTTCCCGAGGCTTTGGGAACATTCAAGGGAGCCGGCACACTCTTGAGCCTCCCGATCCGGTTTTCTTGATGGGAAAGTCCATCCATTGCTAGAACTAGCCACTCTAGTTCTGCCCCACCCAGTTAATGAGGGGCAAGCTCCAGCCATAAACTTAGAACCTAAAGGTAACTCATCCCGTGAAACCTGCCTCCTTGACCCACGGCTTGACCCCTTACCTTGGGGTCACCAAGCCGTCTGAAGAAGAAATGATGGAAGTAATGAACTACGGTATTTGTATGTTGCTGTGAACACAAGCTGAGGGGACACAAGCATGGGGACAGACATAAGCATGGGGACAGACGCTGGAGGTCAGGCTCAAAGTGGAAGCCACCTGCGTGGCACATTTTCACGGTGGGAAACGGGCCTCCTTACTCCTGAGGAGGCACTGGGGACAATGGGCAGCTGCATGCTCAGATGCGCCGTGGGGACTCCGGCCGGGCTCACACCAAATGCGTACGAACTCGGGGCCAAGGAAGCTGGGGGAACTTGACCGACACCCTCATGACAACCTGGAGGGGTGGTGGCAGGAATTCTATTTATACACGAGCAAGGTGGGGCTCCCAGTGATAAGTACCTGGCAGGCCCGAGGTCACGGGGCCGATTACTGGTGGGGTGGAACCAGAGCTCAGGTTTTCTCTCCCTTTCCACCACCTCGCTCTGCCTGGGATCGTGGAACACACCTCACAGAAGGCCTTCTCTCCGGGATCTTTGGTTCGAAAGATTAACTCAAACCCACCGGGTTGTGAACATCTGGAGGGTGAAGGCCATGTCTCATTCACTTCCGTGTCCTGAACGGCTAGCCTGGTCTGGTATACAGTAGGTGCTCAATGAGTATCCTGAGTTGAACTGCTAAACCCATTTTGCAGCTGGAGACTTATGGAGGCCAAGATCATAACTCCAAGGAACGGAGCTCAGGGCTGTAAGCCACATGGTCTACACACTGGCAACAGGGACTCCTCCCCAACCTGGAGATCCAGCTCAATCCTCAAGGGAGCTCCAGATGCACCCCGGGGGCCTTGGAATCACGCGTGAGGTTTCTGTCCTTACCAACTGCTCCGTATATTCTGTCAATCTTGGGGAAGGAGAGGTTATACTTGATCACAGACTCCAATCTTCATCAACACCTCTAAAGGCCTATGCATGCGGAGCCTTCCCAAGAGTAACTGAGGTCGGGGGGATGCTTTGTCTTCTGCTGAACTCGGCATAAAGTAGTTCTCCTGCCCTGCACCGCAGAGTCCTGGGACAGGGGATGCAGGTCTTTTACTGTGCTTTCAGCAGCCGTATCCCTTCTGTAACTACCTAGGGAAGCCCTATTGTAAAGGTCTTTGGGCGGCACAGGAAGCGGGGGACGAGGGGTGGATGAATCCCCCCAGTGTGCGTATCTACCGCACACACACGGAAAGCACCACTTCGGGGGCCGTGAAGAGCTGGGTGGGGACAACCCTGGGGGCCGGGGCACAGAACTGACAGGTTCAGGCTGCCTGGTCTCCAGGTGTAGACACGTCACACTAGCAAGAGCTCCAGCCGGACCCACAAAGGGGTTATCAGCTCCTGACTCTCCTCCTAAAGGCGTTATCTTGCCATGTCACCTGCTTTCGCGTAACTTGCCTATCACACATCCCGCACCCTCCTAATTTTTCTTTGATCATAACATCTGTGAACTCAGAGTAGCCCTTGGAAATGAAAGCATTTGACTCTTTTCCCCCAAACTAGAACGTATTTGGGCCACCACGAAACCAGGGCAAATGTTCAAGAGAGGTTCGCAGGGGAAGGAGATCCTGATCCCTCACCACTTCCTGGCTCAGATGTTTCCGTGGTGGTTTCCTTCTTGGTTTAAAGTGAACTTTTAGTGCAGACATGCTCATTTCTGAATGTGTAAGTACCAAAAACACCTGTCAAAGTGACTGGTAAACGGTGAGCTCCTCTTATTTTAAAAACACATTCTAATAAAACATAAATAGCTTCTGGATTAGGCACCGTTGAGGATTTTCTACACTTCCTGCTCTCTACCTGTTAGGACGCATGTACTGAATTCTTAAGAAGTTTAAAGATAACCCATCATTTGGTCTCTTTACAATGCTCTGAGACTTTCTGGCCAACACACTTTGTCTCTATGATAAAACGGTCAGCTCTTGGAGGGGATGGAACATCTTGACTTTTATTTTCTACAATGCTCAGCATGGAACCTGGCATGAGTCGGCATTTAAGAAGTTGGTTTCATTGAACTGGCTTTTTATACGAATACTTAAAAAACCGACCACATTATGGGCAGACATTGTAGAGAAACTGCTCCTGGGCCTTTTTCCATTTACAAAAGCCACTCAAGACCCTCTCTCGAGGTCAGTCCGGGAGCAACCGCCCTTCTGTCTGAGGTGGGATTCTGGCTGGGGGCTTCCTGCATTTCCAGACCTGAAGGACGTGCAACGAGCCCCCTTCCTGCTGATGGCACCGATGACCCCCACGCTCTGTCCCTCCCTTTGGACCAGAGGCTTGGTGGTTCAGAACCTAATGGAGATGGTTGAAAGGTGATAGGATCCCGACCCGGTGGCCCGCCCAACAGCACCCCCAACATGCACACATCCAAGCAGAGGGAGACACCTGTGACGTGGGTCATCTGTAAGAAAGACGGTATCTTACCTGTCCGAGAAAGGGGCTCGGAAAGCAGGTGGGAAACAAACAAGAGAGAGACACATTTTATGTAGTGACCGACCACTTTGGGAGTGTCACCTCCTGCCTGGGGGCCACCAGCAACAACATACCAAGAGGGTATAGCGTGCAAGACAGAGGCCCTGCTGTCAGGATTACAACCAACCCTGGGCGACCAGGTTCCCATGACCTTTTCAATAACCAAACCAAGAGTCCTGTTTTTAAAAACTCTACAAACGAGCACTGACACAGTCTCCCATGGGCACCCCAATATTTTGAGCCCCCTTTTCAGGAAGTCTGTCGGAAGTTCCCAGCTGGCAGTGGGAAGAATTCAATGACCCACGGCAGGAGGAAGTTCAAAGTCTTCTGGACCCCTACGTGCATCGCTCATTACTATGCTGTCCCACCTCCGCACATAAACCACCAGGTTTTCGACCAGGAAGATGTCCATCCATTCCAACTGTCTAAGTTAACAAAACAGGAAAACACGGTGGCCGGGAGGCGTGCCTAACACTGCACAGGGAGCGAACGGCAGAGCGGGGATGAGGACTCACCCACACCGACTCCCAGGACCCCGTGATTTTTCTCTGCACCACAAGGGCCAAATCAAATCGCCGATACCCTCAAAGCTGCCAAAGGCCAGGGCATCAGTGACATTCCAATTCATTCTAAGCTTTCCAACCGGGCTCCGAGGTGGGCGGGCAAGGAAATCAGGTTCTCCACACGGTCCCACAAGGTTTCAGCGCTCCGGAGGAACACCAGCAAGACGACAACTCCGGGCCCTCCTACACAGATGCTTACTCACACGCCCGCTTGCTCCTCACACTGCAAGGGGAGGCTGCCGCTGCTCACAGACCAGACCAGATCTTTCCACGCTGCACAAGCACACACATTTAGATCCAATACACCGATGTACCTAGTCTGCACCTGTTGTGACGATTAGCATGGAGCATTCTCACCTTTCACCCTTCCCCCACTTCCCTCCAGCACTAGGTTGTCACAGGAGAGGGTAGCAGGGACACAGAGGCAACCTTGTTACTCTGGAGTTCAGTGTCACCAGGAAAAAGGCTTATAATGGTGTTAAGCCACCCATTTGCTGAAAATAGCACCAACCATTTAAAGCATTATCTGGTCCCTGTTCTTGGGACGGACACACTGAAGTATTTCGACACAAAGGGACAGGACGCTTGTAACTTACCTTCAACTAGTTCAGAAAACAAAGCATGCTGGGGGCCGGGGCGGGGGGGGGGGGGGGGAATTGATAAAGCAAATGCAGTAAAATGTTAACAACAGGCAAGTCTGGATACAGAATGTATGGCTGCTCTTCATACTAATTTTATTTTTGCAGTTTTTTCTAACTTTGAAACGATTTCCAAGGAAAATGTAAAAGTCACACACCAAACTAAAAAGCAGAAACAACAAAAACATCTGATGGCAGAGGTTAGGCAGGTGAAGGAAAGCAAGAAGGTTATCCGGAGAGGACAGAGGTCCCCAGAGATGGGGGGGAGGGGGTGACAGCAAGGACACAAAAATGACACCAAAGATCAAAGGCGGGGGGCGGGGGGCTGTCAACAGATTATATCACCATCACATTTCTGCCATATGCTTCCTTCTCCCCTCCCCCACCCCCCGCCCCAGGTATCCTCAATCCAGGCCAGCCAACGAGGAATGACAAGTCAAGAGAAATCTTTACAGAACGTGATAGATGCTATCCATGTTTGAAAGGGATACCCTAGCTGGGGAGTGGAATCAGGTGACCTTGTGATGTCAACGGTGCTCAGAATGTTTATCGTCTGGACAACCCAAACAGCCTCTTGGGAACAGGTGCATAATCTCCATACCCTACGGTAGTCACAACATGGAGAACTTCTCACTCCTCAGCATTTCTGGACCTCGAATCTCTTCCTCTGCCCTGAGCGCGTTTCCTGACATTATGTCCTCACATGCCACCAGCTTGCCAGGTAAACTCCGGTGCCACTAGGGCCACAAAAATGTGGTTTTTCGGAAGCTTTTAATTGAGTCCTCTACCAGATCATGTTACAGGACTACGATTTAGTGAGACAGGCAAATTACACACGGGGAGAAAATAATTTTTCAAAATGCTGCATTCACGGTAAGTAGTCCCTGCTGTTTATTCATTTCCGGCAAGGGAAGGATCGGGAAACATTTGTTCTCAAAAAGTTCTTTTTCTTCTAGAATCTCAGGTGACAGTCTATGTAGGGTATGTGCCAGGTTCAGGCCTGTTTTGACAAGCTGGAGAAGACTCTCCAATCCATCAGTAGGAACCTAAGAGGCAGGGTCACTGAGGACATCATGGAATAAACATGGGCCTCTGAGGACTCACTACTCACAGTGCGGTCTGTGGGGCGTCCACGTGGGCATCACCTGGGCACTTGTTAGAAATGCAGAATTTCAGGCCGCCCCCAGGACTGCTGAGGCAGAGCCTGTGTGTTTAACAAGACCTCTGGGTGATCCCTGGAGGAGTGTGCACATTAAAGCTTGAGGGGGCTGCTCTACGGAGGAGCTGGGTCTCCTCAGTATCTATATGCCTGGGCAGAGGACCCTTAAACGTTGGTTTCTCAAACGGAGCACAGATACCACTCTGGGATTTGAAGCAGGCTGGCTTTTTATCAAGCGCTAGCAGCCATCCAGGGGCCACCCAAGCGCTCCCTGCCTATGGGTGAGAGAGGTTTCGTTCGGAGACACTGGCTTCTCATCATCAAAGGGACCATGTAACCTATGAGGGATATGGGGTCCATGACTAGACTCCCTCCCTTGGATCCTGGAGCGAGCCCAGAGGCTGGAATGCAGAATGAAGACAGACAGACACACAGGCAGGCAGGCAGGCAGACAGACGCGCGCACACACACACACACGCACACACGCACACACATGCACACAGAGCGAGCTGCATGAAGGTCAGGAGAAAGGCGGGCCAGGCGGAAAGCTGCCCATCGGTCTGCATCTCAAATTCTCCTTTGGAGAGAATCTTCCCCAGATCAACAAAAATGCCCCATTTGGAATTCCCCGGGATGCCACCCAGAACAGTTCTGCCTATCTGGGTACAAAAGAGGGCATGGTTTCTCTTTGGCTTTGCGAGGTCATAGGGTCCCAAGGTGGAGCCTCTAGGTATGTCGGGGAGGGGGGGGTCACCAAGACGAGGACTTCCACGTCAGCTCACCAGAGTGTTTCTTCTGTAACCCAGACATCGCAAAGACCGCATTACTCACGGAGGCGCCCAGCCCAGCTCAGGCCCTGTCACCCCAGTACTTCGGCAGCGCTCTCCGGCATGGGGCGCAGAACACGGTTCTCTCTCCAGGTGAGGCCTTCTCCGCCCCGGCGGGCACATGGGAGAGGCTGGAGGGGCAAGGACTGCTGGAGGGCGCCTTTTCCCCTGTGGTCTCCTGCCTCGTCCTTCCTGGAGCGGACACCCCACAGGCCTGGAGGGGCCCCGCTTCTCCTCGCCTGCCTCTCACACGGGGGTGGCACAGGGGCCTCGGCCTGCTCGGGTTGTTACGGGAAGACAGGTGTTGAGGCTGGAAAATGGCCACAACCATGGGTGGTGGGAAACAGACTGGCTGTTGGCTGAGCCCCCTGCCCGTCTCCTCGGAGGCAGAGGAAAGCTGTGTGCGGGGAGGGAGGCACCTGACAAATGTCAAGGCTTAGTGAACGAAGGCACTGTCCACCGCCCAGAGATCAAGCTGCCACTCATGGAGCTGTGAGCGGCAGGAAGGAATGCCTTCAACGGCTACCCCCCACCCCCCCCCCCCGGGGGGCCACCTGCTCTCAGAACAGCAGTCGGGGGGGGGGGAGGGGTGCGCGCCTGGGTGGCTCAGCCCGTTAAGTGCCCGACTCTCGGTTTTGGCTCAGGTCATAATCTCATTTTCTTGAGTTTGAGCCCCGCATCGGGCTCCCTGCTAACAGTACAGAACCTGCTTGGGATTCTCTCTCTCTCCGCCCCCCCCCCACACCTCTGCCTTTACCCTGCTCACTCTCAAAAATAAATACACTTCAAAAAAACAACAACTGTTGTCAAGGTGGGACAGAGGCCACCCGACCCCAGGCCCGGCCTTCCTGCCTGTCTGCTTCTCCTGTGGCCTCTGGCCGCTCCGGGCCTCCCGCTCACACCACCCCCTGTCTTCCTCTGCAGACTGCCTTTTGGGGGACCCCCAGACCAGGGAGCCCCGGCGGGGCTGCACTGTCTACCGGCCCTGGTTCTCCCCTTACAGCTACTTTGTCTGCACGGACCAAGAGAGCCACCTGGAGGCCTACAGCTTCCCAGAGGTGCAGCGGGACAAGGGCAGGGGGGACGGCTGCCTGCCCGAGGACCCGGCTGAGAGCATCTGCTCGTCCTCTTCCTCCCAGGAGGACGCCTGCCCCCGGGAGGCCGCCAAGAAATTCGGGCACGGCCTGGCCTCCATGGACGGCATCACGTCCCAGGACATCCTGAAGGCCGCCAGGTGGCACCCCGCCCAGCAGAGCGGCTACAAGTGCGCAGCCTGCTGCCGCATGTACCCCACGCTGCACTCCCTCAAGAGCCACATCAAGGGGGGCTTCCGGGAGGGCTTCAGCTGCAAGGTGTACTACCGCAAGCTCAAGACCCTCTGGGGCAAGGAGAAGGCGAGGCCGGGGACAGGCTCTCCTCCGGCAGCTGCCAGGCCTTCAAGTAGGCCCTCGGGATGGTGAGCGGACGCCTCGGTCAAGAGGCGACAGAGCCTGTTTCCGCCTCCGGAGAGATGTCAATAAACCGACACTGGCCATGGCCTTCTGTCAAGTCTGAGGTCGCCTGGTCCGCCTGCTCTCCTTCCCAGGGGCCCCGTCCCATTTCCCTGTGGCTAACGGTTGCTTAGCAACACCAGGCCCACCTCTCCACCCCCCTCCCCCGCCCCTCTCCTCCTCAAGCTTGGGAAGAGCCTCTACAGGGTGCTTTTCAAAGTGAGGTGCTCAGATCCGCAGTGTCAGCATCCCCAGGGAATTTGCTAGAAATGAAATCTCAGGCCCGTCTCAGATGCACACAATCAGAAACTCCAGGGGTAGGCCAGCCATCTGTGCTCTGACCAGCCCTCCAGGTGACTCCAGTGGAGCTCAGGTATGAGAACACTGCCCTCAGATCCTGGCCCCCTTGCTGGTCCCCCGTGGTCAGTCAGTCCCTGCCCCACCCCCCAAGAGGGGAGAGAGTTGCCCACCCTTTCCTGTTGGCACAGGGAAGCTTCCCCGGAAGGACTTCCGCACAGTCTGAAAGCTTCTCAGGTGTTCGAGCTCCTGAGGGGTAGAACCGGGGGGACACAGGCCCCCCTGCGTACAGACAGGTCAGGGTAGAGGCTCTCCCCTTGCCCTTCCGGTGATCATGTAGGAAGTTTTCCCGAAGCCTCACCTTCTGGTTCAGGAGAGCTGTCTCTGCTTAACCCTGTCCTGCGAAAATATCATTTGTGGTTCTTTTGACAGAGCCTGGGCTCAAATCCCATCATGTCCCACACCGTGAGAACATTTCCCACCCCCTCTCCCCCGCCCTCCACCCTCTACCAACCCAGCCAGAGTCTAAGAGTGTACTTGAACCGTGGACTCCAGGGTCCCAGCCTGTCCGCTCTGGGGTTGGCGGTCTTTCTAGGCAGCCCTGACATCACTCCCTGGACCCCCCAGGGGAGAGACCAAAGGAGTCCTCACTCTGACTTCCTGTTTCCTTAAAGGGAAAGGCCACCCAAGCCCTTGAAGATGCCCCTGACATGCATCACTGCACATGTGTGTCCCCTCGACGGGGCTCTTGAGGGAGTAAGGGAGGGGCCCACATGGGGGCCTTGTGGCCTTACCTTGGTCTGTGGGAGAGTCAGGAGAGGAATCAGCTTTTGTCTGGCTGCACACCCTCTGTCCAACCCGCACTCCCTCCACCAGGGCACCCATGTCACAGGCACAGGGGATCGAGCTCAAGGGCCATGGCACATGCTACCTGTCACCTTGGCAGGTGCTTGAGTGTAAAGACAGGTGCTCTCTGCCTTTCACGTTTAATAGCATCGTTGCCGCCCCCCCACTGCCCTGCTGTCTCAAGGTGGAGGTCTGAGTAACGCTTCAGCACACAGAAAACACAACCCACCACACAACTGCACTGACCAACGGGTAACGGGTACAACCTCCCCTCCCCCAGCCGATCAGAAGGTAAGCGCTAGGGGTGCCCTGAGCCCCTGCCAGGTGCTCTGCCTTTAAAATGCAACCTCATTTACTCTTCGTTATCGCTTTACTTGGCAGGTTCTATCCCCATTTTACAGATGAGAAAACGAGGCTGCGTTCCATTCGCTCAGTCAGGAAGGGGCTAAAGGGCGTGAGAAGCTGGCGGATCGGACTCTCAGCTTTCCCGCAGAGTTGGGCCTTACAAAGTACCAGGTTCAACAAACCCTCTGCCTTCCAAAGGGCTCAGAGCTCTGGCCAACGTAACTGGTTTCCAGGACGGTGGCTTCTAGTTCTCGGACGCTCTTCCCTGGCTAGCATTGCACCTCCCTCTCGCTTCTACGCCTGGCAGGAAAGCCGAGAGCCCACGAGCCAGGGAGGGCTCTCCCACTGAGCTGTGCTGCAGTGACATCATGATATTTGCAGGTAGGTGTGCGGAGGGACCAGCTTTGACTCCAGTCAGAATCCCATGTATATTTCAGACGTGTAGTCAGGGGTCAATGAAATTTTATACTCTGGATGATTGGAGTTACATCCAAAAACATCTATGATGTACTTTCTCAAGCACCCAACACTTGCTGATATGCCAAGGATGCCTGGAGTTTCAAAAGACCCGGGGTTGGGAGAGTCTGAAAAAACGGGCACAAGCCCAGGGTCTCTCAGCCTCAGCACTACTGACACTGGGGCTGGATGCTTCTGTTGTGGGGGTGGGGGGAAGGGGTGGGGGGGGTTGACCTGCGCATCGTAGGATATTTAGCAAACCTCTCTGGCTTCTACCCACTAAACGTCAAAAGCATCCTTCCCCCAGTCGTGACAAGCAAAGGTCACACGTCCCCCGGGGAAGCAAAATCATCCTCGGATCGTAACCACCGTAGAACCTGATCCCGCGAGGCTGGTCTATACAAACTGTAGCCGAAGGCACCGCTTTCCTCCCCTCTTTGTTTTCTGAACACCACAACCCTTGAGAACCAGTGTGTCGCAGAGCTGATGGCCGCTGGCTTGGGAAGTGGGGTGGGAGGGAGGGGAGGTCAGGCAGCAGGTGGGATAGAAGAAGCAAGAAGAGACCATGGAAAAGCTTTTAGAAATCAGAAAGGTTTATTTAGCAAAAGCCACTAGACTAGTGACAACATCCAGGGAGTAAGTGCACTTACATGAACAGAGAATCTTTTCCCAGAGAGTTGAACCAACAGAGTTAATGACACAACAGTTTTAGAAAGTAGAGGGCTCAGGGTTGGTGGGGTGAGAGGAGGCAGTCAGGCAGAGAGGAAATAAAAGGAACACGAGTCCTAAACAGGAGCCATTGGGAGAAGGGAGGCTACGAAGGGGCTTCACAGAGAGCACTGATACAAGCAGGGATATAAGGAATATCATTTCCATCGCAATATACAGTCCATCCTGTGCAGAGAAATTCTTTGCTGGCTCTGCAACTGTGATAGGCCGGAAGTCGGCTGGCACCCGGGGTAGGTTGAGGCAGGCACCAGTAAGGTAGGCGCCCCTGGCGTCCACTTGTCCTCCGTGGACAGAGGAAGGATAAAAAGAGGAGGGCAGGAGTTGAGTGAGCAGAGCAAGAAGCAAGGAGGGAGAAGGAGAGGGGGCCATCGCTGGGAAATCAGGTCTGCGATGTTCTCTTTCCTGCCCAGTGGCTGGTGAATCGCCAGGGTCCCTAGATCCGTCCTGTCATCTCCACACGCCCCGTGTGCTGCTGTGGCTCAAACTGGGGAAGGCGCCGGCACGCAAACCAGTCTCCGGCAAAGGCCCCGTCTGGCGGAAGGCTGGGGCCGAGGCAGGCGGAAACCACTACAGAGCATCCGAGGGCAAGGGTCCCAAACGGGTCCTGAGTCAGTGGTACAGAAAACTCGTCTCTCTGATTCTTTCGTCTCTCCTAAATGTCCGTTCTTCTTTCGCTTCGCAAGCTTTCCAAGACCCTTCAGAAACCATTCCCCACCCATTCCTCACCCCCTCTCCTGCCACGTTCCACAAAGCCAGTCCACTGGCCCCCTGGCTTCCCCCTCAGCTCCTGCTGACACGCAGGGGAAGGCAGGGGAAGCCTCAAGAAGCCAGACCTTTCACGCTCTGGAACACTCAAAATTCCCACGCTCTGAGAGGTCGCACCCAGCGGAGGATCTGGTGAGCCGGCCAGGCTCGGCCACACCAGACTCCGGCCGTCGCTCCTTCAGTTTGTGGCTCTTACCTTCCTGGTTCTTCCTTCCCTTGTGTCTCTGGACCTACCTTCCATCCAATGGTTAATTAGAAAATACGGTAAAACAAACACAACCACCCCTCTCCAACTAAATACACGTTAGGAAAAGAACACAATTCTGCTTCGTTCAAAGACCCTGAAGATTCCCTGTCTCTTCTCTCTGGCCACTTCTTACAAGCCCACACACCGCGTACACACGTTCCCTCGCATGCCACCTGTGCATATACGTACACACACACGCAAACACACGCGCACACACACGCACGCGTTATCCGCACACACCCCATCCTATTTCTGCTGATACCCTGGTGCACCAAGGGAGACTAACATAAAGCTGCGTTTATTTCATTTGGACTTTCTAGCTAAGAGGGAATCCAGCTGCTTAAGAGAAGGGCTACACTTTCATTTATCAAAACTGTAAAGCTGAGTCAGGGCCGAAGCGCCCTGTGTTTTGGATCACCACGTCCTTACCAGCTAACCCTCAAAGAACACTGCAGGCTGGGTCTGTCGCTCGTTGTCCCGGATGAAGGCTGATTTCCCCAAACACGTGACACTAGCATGGCTCGGCTCTCGCTCTTTAGGCATCGTTAAATCTGTTCACAGACGCTAGAGTCTAACGGTCACAGAAGGAACTTGTCCTTCGTGCCCCCATCAGCATGCAGTACCGGGTGGTGATCTCTAGACAAGGCCGAGATGGTCCAAGACGAGACAACTGCACGTGGCACTTTTTACAGGTGTGCTCGAGGCACGCACCCACAGGGACGGGTCAAGGGTGACGTGGCTGTGGTCCCTGACCTAAGTGGCAGTGATTCTGAAGAGAGGAAATAAACAGTCTCAGCTACCGGCCTGTATTTGTTTGCAGTAAAAAGGGACCACAACTGCCCAGTGGAGGGGACAGGTTGAGAGGTAAGGCTTGGGGGGGGGGTGGCTCTGGGTCTCTGAGGCTTTCTCCGAGGTGAGGGTGCCTCAGCTGGCAGAGCCCCCTGAGGCAGGACGCAGAGGAGGGAAGGGCGAGCTGGGCTTGCAGGATGGGGGCAGGACTTCCACAGCGAAGAATCAGACCTAAGGCATCTGTGGCAGCAAAGAGACTGCCCTCCCCGAGGGCTTTTCACAGCCCCGGCCTGACTGATGTTAAACGCTCAATGTCCCTGGAAGCAACACCTAACACCCAGCTGGAGAAGATGTCCAGATTCAACTCATCCGGAAGCTTCCCCGATGTGACACATCCCAACACGGCGCTCACACCGAAAGCTCTACCCTGTCACTTACAGCCCAGAGCATTCAGCCTCTGTTCTCTCCACGAGGGCCTGGAGAAGGAATTCGTCCCATAAGGTCTGGGGCGGGTGGTCAGGCAACGGGTATTATCCTGGACACCCAGATGCACAGTACCCCAGAAGGTACCCGATGTATTCCCTTCACAGTG